CAGGTTACGTATTCATAGCAGAAAGTGCCCAGAATGAGGGATTAGTTAAGAGAAAATAATGGTTCATCCATATCACAATAGCTCATAATCCCTGTGGCTAATAGAAAGTGGTTGTCAACTGTGTGCCAGATAACTCATGTGGCCATCAAGATACCCCTAAGACGTAGATGCTGTTATTATTCCTATTTTGTAGATGAGGAAACAGATATAGAGAGATTAAAAAACTTGTTGAGGTCACACAGCTGGTGAGGAGAGAAGGAATTTGGATCTAGGTGCTGGTTCCCAAGTCTACAGTCTTTCATTCACGGCTCATATCATGATGATGTCGACCTGAATTCATCAACAGGGAATCGTGCCTGCAATAAATTGTTACAGGGAAAAGGCGTATTGGAAAATTCCAAGAGTGGCTACCTCTCCATATGGGATAATGGCAAATATCTTGTTAATTTTTTCTTCTTTCTCATTTGAATTTTTCTTACAACGTGTAAATATTATTATGCTTACAAAAGACAATGAAGTTCTTAGTCCCAGCTGCTGGGGAGCCCGAAGCAGGAGAACTGCTTGAACCCAGAAGGCAGAGGTTGCAGTGATCCGAGATCGCGCCACGGCACTCAAGCCTGGATGACAGAGTGAGACTCAGCCTCAGGGGAAAAAAAAAAAAGACAATGAAGTTCTTTTCATTTTGGGGGAAAATAGAAAAAGGAGAAAAGAGGCCAGGCGCAGTGGCTCACGCCTGTATTCCCAGCACTTTGGGAGGCCAAGATGGGTGGATGACTTGAGGTCAGGAGTTCAAGACCAGCCTGGCCAACATGGCAAAAAAATTACAAAAATTACAAAAATTAGCTGGGTGTGGTGGCGTGCTCCAGTAAAATTACAAAAATTAGCTGGGTGTGGTGGCGCGCACTGTAGTCCCAGCTGCTTGGGAAGCTGAGGCAGGAGAATAGCTTAAACCCGGGAGGTGGAGGTTGCAGTGAGTCGAGATTGCACCACTGTATTCCAGTCTGGACAACAGAGCAAGACTCCGTCTCAAAAAAAGAAAAAAGAAAAGAAAAAGGAGAAAAGCTGGAGGATGCAGGAAAGGACTCAATAGAAACTTCCCAGGCCTCCTTGGCTGGTGACCTGGCCTTGGCCTCCGCTGCTTCCTACAGCCAGGCCAGCTGCCATCCTCCTCCACTGGGGAAAAAGGGGTGCCTTGTTTTTCTTCCCTGATGACCAGACAGGCGAGGGCAGAGAGGCAGCTGCAAAAGCTTCCTCGTTGTCTCATACTCATGGGCTCCATCTAAAGGTTACTCCTCACCCCAACCATCATATGGCTGCTAATATTAGTGCTCATTTTTCCACTGAGGAAACAGAAACGTAGAGAGGTGGAGGGATCTGTCCAAGGTCATTTCCGCAATGAGGAGAGGAGGCAGGAAGCAGGCTCCATCCTAGTGATGGACAGCTTAGTCCCTGTTTTTTCATTTGCACAAACATTTGAAGGAGAATCCTGTGTTTTTTGTTACGCCATACTGCTGAACAATTTCTATCAAACTATACCAAAGATTCCTTTCCTTCCTTTAAAACATGTTGAAGGAAAATGTCTTAGACTTGAGCGTCTTGATTTATAGTCAATATACTGCAGTTTAGCCTTTGAATATGGCCGATGATGTGTTGCAGCAAGCTGAGCACTTCTATTACAAGCAAAGACTCTGACTACAAACCTCCAAGTGGGCAAGGGATTATCAAGTTTAGCAATGGACTAACCAAAAACTGCATTCGTGTGGAACTGACCACAGGCTTTACATTATGCTTTTGTTCCTTTCTTGCTCATAACCCATTGTATAACAAAATATGCCCAAACTTGGGCTTTAATAAAAAATTTCTTAGCTCTCAATTTTTTTGTGGTTTGATTGGGCTTAGCTAGGTGGCTCTTGCTTGGGGTCCTTCATAAAGTTGCAGTCCGGTGGTGGCTGGGGGCTGCAGTCACCTGGTGGGTCATCTTGGCTGAACACCTACCATGGCACACTCCTATGACCTAAACCCCAAAGATAAAGAGAATGAGAGATTTGACATCAGCCTACAAGGGATTTCAATAGTCCTTGGAGAATGGATGGCAGATGGAAGAGTGGTATTGCTATAACAGAACAAACGAAACTACAAACTAAGTGCCACAGTGTGGGAAACTATTGAGGGGCAAGTCACCCCACTGCAGAGCCCTGGACGCAGTGATACACTGGAGCTAGCTCATTCTGGTTAATGAGAGTGGATTTAAAAAAATTCAAGGCCGGGTGTGGTGGCTCAAGACTGTAATCCCAGCGCTTTGGAGGTTGAGGTGGGAGGATCACTTGAGCCCAGTTCGAGGCGGCAGTGAGCTATGATTGCACCACTGCACTCCAGCCTGGGCAACAGAGCAAGACTCTGTCTCTTAGAAAAGTTTTGTGTTTTTTTTCCAGTAATATCCTTGTATGGTGCAAACACTATATAATGCTGTGCTACTGCCCATTTTCTTTCCAGCAAGGAATAGGCCCTCAATTTTCCAGACATTTCTTGAGTACCATACTTGTGCCAGGTCCTGGGAAACAGTGATCAGCAGGAGGGACAAAGAGCCTACCCTCATGGGCCTTACAGTGTACAGGGGCTGAGGTGGTGATATTTGTCCAATAACCACCCAAACACTTAATTAGAAATTGTGATAAGCCCAATGAAAGAAAAGTACATGAAACTTAATTGGGAAGGGGGTGGTTTAGGGAAGACTCGAAAGTGACAATGGAGCTATCAAGTTCAAGAAGGAGTTAGTTGGGGAGGGGGCTGCAGGAAGAAGTGCACGCCTGGAGGCAGGAACAGCATGTGTCCCAGTAGTTCAGGGTGCGGGCCCGGGCTGGTGAGAAAGGGCAATGGAGAAGGAAGCAGAGGAGACCGTGCAGACACTGCAAGTGCTAGAAACCCGATCCATGCTGGCTTCAGAGGGTGGAGGGGAGGTTCTTCTTGGCTTCCATAATAGAAATGTCCAGCGACCTACCGACTTCAGATTCAACGCAAACGCATCTGGGCCTGGTCTGTATCCCTCCCTCTTTCTTCTCTCAGCATCTTCCTTAGGCGGTTCCCCTCCTGGCATCCCAACAGCTGCAGCATCAGCAGGAGACAGTGAGCCTACTTCCACAGTCCTGGCGCAGGGATGGAGAAGATGTTTCGTGGGCTCCGATTGGCTCAGTAGCCTATCTTTGGAGCGAATCAGCGAGCGGAGAGGGATGAACTGCTCTGATTGGCCAGATCCAGTCACATGCCAACATGTGACGCGTGGAATCTACGCCAGCTGCAGCAGAGGGTTGGGGGTTGTGACCCGAGTTAGATCCAGCGCAGAAGGGACGTGAGCCCAGCCGAGGTACCGCAGGAGAGGAATCAATTTTGGTATGCAGATAATCACTGCATGGGCCTTGCTCTTTGCAAAGAGGTGTGTCCCTGTAAAGTTGTCGGGCAAACGAAATGTTGCAAACGACTCCATTTCACGAAGTCTCAACTAATTTATGATTCGTTAGTTGAGATGTTTGTTTTCTTCCTTTCTAAAATAAGATGTTGGACTGTAAAGACTCTAGCTAGCTCTGCAACCTCTGATGAATGATTTCATGCCTCATTATTGTCAAAAATCCAAAGCAGAATTGGAGTGATGATGTGGTATAGGGATTAGGTAAGTGAAGACTGGTGCAAAGCCGCTTGGGTCGAAATTCTGTCCATTGCTTTGTCATTGGAAAAGTTATTTAACGTCATCGTCTCAGTTCTCACAACTATTAAAATGCAGAGGATAACAACACCTACCTTATGCTCTTGTGAGGATTAAATAAGTTACCGATAATATATGTAAAGCACTTAAAAGAGGACCCATGTGTTTGCTATTATTATGTTATCCATACAATAGAGAGTAAACATTACCTAAGTTATAAAGAACTTAGGCAATGGATACCAAAATCATTGTAATAATTTTATAATAAAAGAAAAAGTTCACGCCAGTAACCGCAGCACTTTGGGAGGCTGAGGCAGTCGAATCACTTGAGGTCAGGAGTTTGAGAACAGCCTGGCCAACATGGTGAAACCCTGTCTCTACTAAAAATACAAAAAATTAGCCGGGCGTGGTGGCGCACACCTGTTATCCCAGCTACTCGGGAGGCTGAGACAGGAGAATCGCTTGAACGCAGGAGACGAAGTTTGCAGTGAGCTGAGATCGCGCCAATGCACTCCATCCAGCCTGGACAACAGAGTGAAAACTCTGTCTCAAAACAAAAAACAAACAAACCAAAAACATTTATAATAAATGTGTAATCATTTATTATACACCCAGAACTGTGCTAAGAGCACTGTGTTGTCTTTTTTTTTTTTTTTTTTTTTTTGAGATGGAGTCTTGCTCTGTCACCCAGGCTGGAGTGCAGTGGTGTGATCTCAGCTCACTGCAACCTCTGCCTCCAGGGTTCGAGCGATTCTCCTGCCTCAGCCTCCTGAGTAGCTGGGATTACAGGCACGCGCCACCACACCCGGCTAATATTTTTTGTATTTTTAGTAGAGACTGAGTTTCACCATGTTGGTCAGGCTGGTCTCGAACTCATGACCTCGTGATCCGCCTGCCTCAGCCTCGCAAAGTGCTGGAATTACAGGCGTGAACCACCGTGCCTGGCCGTGTTGTCTTATTTAATCCTCACAACAGTCTTGTGGAATGGGTGCTGCTATCATGCTTGTTTTTCAGATAAGGAAACAAGCTCAGAGAGGTGAAATGACTTGTCCAAGGTTACAGGCCAGGGGAGGCTTGAACCCAGGTATTTGTAATTCCAAATGTCATACATACTCTGTCCACACTCCTTGTAACCTGCCTGGGCTGTCACATTTGGTGTGGGGCTCGCAGCTCTCCAGGGACCAGAACAGGCGCATCCCCGCCCACCGCCCCGCCCATCGTGCCAGCCCGACTCCACCCCTGTGGCTACGCCCACTGCCTCGCGCCTTCCCCATGGGTGGGCCACGCCCACAGCCTGCAGCCAGGTGCCTCCACTGTCCGGGCTCTAGCCCCGCCCCTCCCCCGCCCCGCCCCGCCCCCGCCCCGCCCACCGGCCTCGCAGTCGACGCGGACGCCGATCTTGTGCATGGAGTCGCCATTTTGCTCTTAGAGACGCCGCCAGGAGACCCAGCGCTTTCTTCCTTCTGCAGCCGAGGCTGCGGCGGGGCCGGGGCTGGGGTCGGGGCCAGGTAGGCGGGCGGGAGCCAGTGGCGAGCGGCGGCGAGGGTTGGCTGGCTCCAGCATTGCGGGGCGCAGGTGCACGGGGCGGGGAGCCCGCGGCGCCGGCAGGCAGACGGGTCGGGGTCCCGCGGTGGTGGCTGCTTGGGGGCTCACGGGGGCGACCTCGCGCCCGCGGCCCTTCCATTTTTCTCTCTCTCCTTCCTCTTCCGTCAGGGGTCGGCGGGGGCCGGGCCGGGCGTCCGGTGTCTGGGCTCTCTCTGCTCCCTGAGGCGCCGCTGGGGAGTCGAACCCTGATGATGGGACCTGTGGTGAGCAGCTCTGAAAGCAAGCCCAGACCCAGCCATTCTCCGTCCCTAACCTGACATGGAGCCCGTGATTTTAATTTACCTGATTTTGCTCGTCACAAATATATCTCTCACCCCCTAAAGGATGATTTTGTCCAACTCAGAACTCACCCCAGCAGAGATTGAGGGGGAACCGTGATGAAATTTTTAAGTATTCTGCTTGATAATTTTTCTCTTACTTTAATGTTGGCTCCGTTTGGGTGTTGAGCTTTTGAAAGGGATATGAAAATGCAGAATGGGGCTTTGGGGCTTGAGGAGGTGTGATCTCTAGTGTTTAAAAAATTTAATTGCACAAATAGAAATAATTCACCCACATTATTGAACCCCACTAAAGCATACCCTTCTTGTCCATATCCCTTTCCTGCTGTCCTGGTGTGTACCATTGTTACTCAGTTGTGATTTGAGCTCTTTCCACTTAAAGTCATTCATAGGTACTTTTGCGCAGTCATTTATTGAATTTCTATTCTGTGTTTTCCTTAATTACTTCGTTATGGAACCTTTACACAGGTCTGGTGTACTTGCTCTTTAAAAAGTCTTATGTTGGCTATCATCACTGAGCATATAGCTTTTTCCTTATTTTTTTAGGATAATTACCAGAAGTGGAAATACCAAATCAAACTTCTGTGTTCTTTCTTTGGCACTATTATATAAATTGTTTTCCAAACAAGGCATGTTTACAATAGACATTTTTCAAGATCTGGGTATTTGGCCGATTTTGCTCCGGTATGCAGAATTCAGCGGAGTGCCAAGTCGTTTTCTGTGTGGGTTGAGAGACAGGCTGTGCAGCCCAGTGTTGCATAGGACTGACTACTACAAATCATGCTGAGACTGAGCTATTTCTGCTGCTTAGAGGGTTTGCAGCCTTGAGTAAGTTTCTTCATCTGGAAACCTAGCTTCCCCTGTCTAAAATGAGTCTCATTCTAGTACTTGCTTCACTGGGTTGTCATAAGCATTGTGAACACTCAGAAGATGTTAGGAATGAGTAAACATTCTGTTGGAGAGGTAAGCAGAGCCTGGGATCATAGAGGAGTGGAAGAGTAATTTGGTTTAGAATTTGCCCTTCAGGTTCTCATCAATATTGATATTAAAGACAGATTTTCTTGCAGTGAAGCACATCACTAATAAGCATACATAATAAGGTGTTTTGTTTTGTTTTATGCAGAGTCTCGCTCTGTCGTCCAGGCTGGAGTGCAGTGGTGCAATCTCAGCTCACTGCAACCTCTGCCTTCTGGGTTCAAGTGATTGTCCTGCCTCAGCCTCCTGAGTAGCTGGGATTACAGGTGCGTGCCACCACGCCCGGCTAATTTTTTGTATTTTTAGTAGAGACAGGGTTTCACCATGTTTGTCAGGTTGGTCTCAAACTCCTGACCTCGTGATCTGCCCACCTGGGCCTCCCCAAGTGCTGGGTTTACATGCATGAGCCACCATGCCCGGCCAATAAACATAATACGTTTTTATGCTTTTTTATTTTTTGAGACAGAGTCTTGCTCTGTTGCCCAGGCTGGAGTGCAGTAGCACGGTCTCCGCTCACTGCAACCACCGCCTCCCGAGTTCAAGTGATTCTCCTGCCTCAGCCGCCCGAGTAGCTGGGGTTACAGGTGCATGCCATCACGCCCAGCTCATTTTTGTATTTTTTAGTAGAGGTTTCGCCATGTTGGCCAGGCTGGTCTTGAACTCCTGACCTCAGGTGATCCACCCACCTTGGCCTCCCAAAGTGCTGGGATTACAGGTGTGAGGCACTGCGCCTGGCCGGTTTTTATACGTTATGATGCCTTTTAGTTCATCTTTGAATTTCATTTGTTAGTCATTGTGACTCATTGAGGTCAGGCATTATTCAGCAATAGTTAGTTTAGCCTCTACTGTGTGGCAGCTGCACAGGGTATACAGCAGAGAATATCATGGTAAAAAAAAATCTCTGCTACCTGGACCTTAAATTCTGATGGGGAAAGCTTTTTACCAAGGTTACATCTCTGTTGTCTGAAAGGTAAAGGCTGAGGCCCAGCAAGGACAAGTGATGTCCACACAGCCTAGTAACTGGAAGGCAAACCCAACTCTTCACACTTCTACTTCAGCCATCTTTAAGTAGAAGGTATTTATACAGTAGATGCTTTAGAGGGAAGACAACATACTTCCATGTGAGTCTTCCTCATCTGAAATGTGGGTGAGTGGTTTTGAAATGACTGCTAGTCTGTCCAAAGGAAATGATCTCTCAGTGTGGCTTCTTCATTCATGAGACTTAACAGATTCTCAAATCTTATTCAGAAGAGGAGTGTGATTTGCTCTTTAAAAGGTGCTAAGATTCTCTGAAAATGGTGTGTTTTCATACATGTTATAAATAATTCTCACACATTCTAGAGTAAATTTAGAATAAACATAAAGCAGTTATAGCTCATGGGGAAAATAAGGGAATGTTCTCATTTCACACTAAAACCTTGTGCTAACAAGCCTCCTGCCAGTCCCATCTTGATGATTATCATGTTTTTGAGGATAGTCTTTATAACTCTTCTGGAAACTTGGTAAAGAACACAGCCTTCATTACCTACAGGAGAAAGGAGAACTAAAACTACAAACAGGCCTTATGGCCGGACGCGGTGGCTCACTCCTGTAATCCTAGCACTTTAGGAGGCCGAGGCGGGTGGATTACTTGAGGTCGGGAGTTTGAGACCAGCCTGACCAACATGGAGAAACCCTGTCTCTACTAAAAATACAAAATTAGATGGGCGTAGTGGCGCATGCTACTCAGGAGGCTGAGGCAGGAGAACTGCTTCAACCAGGGAGGCGGAGGTTGTAGTGAGCCGAAATTGCGCCATTGTACTCTAGCCTGGGCAACAAGAGTGAAACTCCATCTTAAAAAAAAAAGAAAAAGAAACAGCCCTTGTGTTTGAATAACTTGTGAAATGAATAGTCACAAAACATGACTATGTTGATAGTCATTTCCAAATGGATGCTCCCCAGTCCACCCCACCGATGTCATTTTGAGGGTGGTCTTTGGTGAGGATTCTATATAGGAGCCTATATCTGAAGCCTAGAACATCAGATACCATATGCAGGATGTTGCAGGCCGTTTTAAACCATGAGAGATAAGGAAAGACTTCAGGAAATATCCTGGAAAAAATACACAAACGCAGGAGAGCTATCTTGAAATAATTTGCAGGCTGTCCTGTGGAGAAGGAATTTGATGTTTCCCATAAATCTCTGAGGAGAGGCTAAGAACCACTGAGCAGAAGCTACAGGGAGAGGAATCTCCGCATGTTCTTTTTTTTTGTTTGTTTGGGTTTTTTTTGAGACAGAGTCTTGCTCTGTCACCCAGGCTGGAGTGCAGTGGTGCAATCTCTGCTCACTGCAACCTCCACCTCCCGGGTTCAAGCAATTCACCTGCCTCAGCCTCCTGAGTAGCTGGGACTACAGGTGTGTGCCACCAGGCCTAGCTAAGTTTTGCATTTTTAGTAGAAATGAGGTTTCACCATGTTGGCCAAACTGGTCTTGAACTTCTGACCAGGTAATCCACCTGCCTCGCCCTCCCAAAGTGCTGGAATTATAGGCGTGAGCCGCTGCGCCCAGCCACAGCATGTTCTAAGGAAGAATTTGGAATGATGGGCCCTCAGTGGATGTGGGCATCAGACCCTGGGGCTGTTCAAGCTTCTGTTGAGTGGTTCCTTGGCAGGATTCCTACAGATGGGCTTTGAACAAAAGATTTAGGAGGAATGGGCTGAACTACCTCTAAGATCTCTTCCTACATCTAAAATGCTTTCATTCTAAGTATTCCGACTCCTATCAGGAATCCTGCTGTACTTTAAGTAGCTTCTTATTTGAAGGTTGGGGGATACAAAAAAAATGCCCCTCCCCTCATGTCTGTTACTGTACTTACGTGGTAGATAATCAAGATATTAGAAGTCAGTTCATAGAAAGCATGTCCGATATGCAGGGCACTGTGTTAAGTGCCTGGCAAAAATTTTACAATCACCTGTGGGGTCAGTTTTCAGTTTTTTGGATGGCAGAACTGAGGCTAAGAAATTTCGAGTATCAGGTAACTTATGCAAGTCCTCACTGTGAGTTTAGGGGAAGTAGTTCAAGATGCAAACTTGAGTTTGACTCCAAATCCTGTATTTACAACTGCAGGAAGATTAGTTTGTTTTTGTTTCCTTTCCTGGACCTGTGACACCCTATTTTTTATTTATTTATTTATTTATTTATTTATTTGAGACCAGGTCTCACTCCCATCTTCCAGGCAGGAGTGCAGTAAAGTGGTGCAATCTTGGCTCGTGGCAGCCCTGACCACCTGGGCTCAAGTGATCTTCCCGCCTCATTTTTTGATTTTTTTATAGAGATTAGGTCTCACTATGTAGCCGAGGCTGGTCTCAAACTCTTGGGCTCAAGCAATCAGCCCACCTTGGCCTCACAAAGTGCTGGGATTAGCGGCGTGAGTTGCTGTGCCTGGCCATACCTTTTGTTCTTAAACACAGATGTTGATTGGTTGAGAGATGGCTTTAGAAGTATTTAAGATCCCTTCCAGAATGTTGATGATTAAACGTATTATTTCTTTCATTTATACCAGCCACTCTGCTAGTAGCCTTTGCAGATGCTACATTGTCCGGTAAAAGGCGTTAGCAAACTTTTTCTGTAAAGGACCAGATAATAAATATTTCAGGCTTTGTGGGGCATACTCAGTGCTATTGTTGTTATCTAGAGACAATTTGTAAACAAATGAGTGTGGCTGTGTTACAGCCTATGTTACAGAAATATGCTTTTGAGGGACCTGATTTGGCCTGTAGGCTGTAATTTGCTGGTCTCTGCCCCAAAGCCACTTCCATGGTAGATACCACTGTCCACCTTGGTCGCTTTAGGGCTTTGGTTAGTTGTGTATACATTTCTGTTTATAAGCCATAGGCAAATTTAAGGTAAATTGCATTGTAGTCTGCCATATTTCCCATTGCAGATTCCTGGGTTTTGCCAGCTGGAATGCCTCTGCAGGAAGTGCTAGTGGGACTGTGCAAAATAGGTCTCTATTATAATTTCTTCTTGTATTTTGTTGTTGTTGTTGTTGTTTGTTTTGGATACTGGGTCTCAGTCTGTCTCCCAGGCTGGAGTGCAGTGGTGTGAACACAGCTCACAGCTTTGGCCTCCAGGGCTCAAGTCATACTCCCACTTCAGCCTCCCAAGTAGGTGAGATAATAGGCATGCACTACCATGCTTGGCTAATTTTAAAATTTTTTGTAGAGGTGGTAATGTCTCACCACATTACCCAGGCTGGTCGCAAACTCTTGGGCTCAAGTTATCCTCTGGCCTTGGCCTCCCAAAGTGCTGGGGATACAGGCATGAGCCACTGTGCCTGGCCAAGTCTGTATCTTCTAACCCAGATTGCTAAAGTAGACTGCTTAGTGAAAAAGTAAATTATAGATACAGTTGCACAATGACATCGTTTTGTGTTTGAAACATTATACACACACACGTGTATATATATATTTTTTAAATTAATTAATTTTTCCTTTTTTTTGAGACAGAGTCTTACTCTATCGCCCAGGTTGGAGTGCAATGGCGCGATCTTGGCTCACTGCAACCTCTGCCTCCCAGGTTCAAGCAATTCTCCTGCCTCAGCCTCCCAAGTAGCTGGGACTACAGGCACGCGCCACCACACCCAGCTAATTTTTTGTATTTTTAGTGGAGACAGGGTTTCGCCATGTTGACCAGGCTGGTCTCGAACCCCTGACCTCAGGTGATCCACCCACTTCGGCCTCCCAAAGTGCTGGGATTACAGGTGTGAGCCACTGCGCCTGGCCTTTTTTTATTTTTTTATTTTTTAGATGGAGTTTTGCTCTCGTCGCCCAGGCTGGAGTGCAATGGCGTGATCTTGGCTCACTGCAACCTCTGCTTCCTGGGTTCAAGCGATTTTCCTACCTCAGCCTCACGAGTTGCTGGGATTACAGGCACGTACCACCACGCCTGGCTTATTTATTTATTTATTTATTGTATTTTTAGTAGAGATGGGGTTTTGCCATGTTGGTCAGGCTGGTCTCGAACTCCTGGCCTCAAGTGATCTGCCTGCCTTGGCCTCCCAAAGTGCTAGGATTACAGGCATGAGCCACTGCGCCTGGCCTTTTTTTTTCTTATGGAGTTTTGCCCTCTTCACCCAGGCTGGAGTGAAATGGTGTAATCTCGGCTCACTGCAACCTCTGCCTCCTGGATTCAAGTGATTCTCCTGCCTCAGCCTCATGAGTAGCTGGGATTACAGGCAGGTACCCCCATGCCTGGCTTATTTTTATTTTTATTTTTTGTATTTTTAGTAGAGATGGAGTTTTGCCATGTTGGTCAGGCTAGTCTCGAACTCCTGGCCTCAAGTGGTCTGCAGCCTTGACCTCCCAAAGTGCTAGGATTATAGGCATGGGCCACTGCGCCCAGCCATATATATTTTTTACAGAGGTCACATGTATAAATGCATAGAAAAGGTCTGATGTCCCTACCAAACTGATAAGAACCCTCACTTCTGGGGAGGACCCGGGATCGAGGCTGGTGACTTTATCCTTAACTATCATGTTTCAGGTTTTTTGGGAGGAATGGAGTCTCGCTCTGTTGTGCAGGCTGGAGTGCAATGGTGCACTCTCGGCTCACTTCAACCTCTGCCTCCTGAGTTCAAGCGATTCTCAAGCCTCAGCCCCCAGAGTAGCTGGGACTACAGGCACCTGCCACCATGCCTAGCTCATTTTTATATTTTTAGTAGAGACAGGTTTCATCCTATTGGCCAGGCTGTTCTCGAACTCCTGATCTTGTGATCCGCCTGCCTTGGCCTCCCAAAGTGCTGGGATTACAGGTGTGAGCCACTGCGCCCGGCCATGTTTCAGGTGTTTATAGGGAGCACGTGTTTGTGTTTTACTTGTATAATTAACATTTGAGAATAATGAGGCCGGGCGAGGTGGCTCACACTTGTTATCAATCCCAGCACTTTGGGAGGCCGAGGTGGGCGGATCACGAGGTCAGGAGATCGGGACCATCCTGGCTAACATGGTGAAACCCTGTCTCTACTAAAAATACAAAAAAATTAGCCAGGCATGGTGGGGGGCGCCTGTAGTCCCACCTACTCCGGAGGCTGAGGCAGGAGAATGGCGTGAACCTGGGAGGCAGAGCTTGCAGTGAGCCGAGATCGTGCCACTGCACTCCAGCCTGGGCGACAGAACAAGACTCTGTCTCAAAAAAAAAAAAAAAAAAAAAAAAAAAGAAAAAGATTAGCTTAGTTTCAGCTCATTGATGATCTCCACCAGCCTTCCCAGAGGTCCCAGGTGAACATACAGCTGTGGAAATGCAGTGGGCTTGCTGAGAAAGGGCCCCCCTGCCCACAGCCTGCTGGGTTGTTGCTGTTCCTCCCATCTAGCACCTCCATTACGTGATGAGGACACTCAACACTGATGACTTCTTTTTTGATTTTTGAGACAGAGTCTTGCTCTGTTGCCAGGCTGGAGTGCAGTGCCACAATCTCAGCTCACTGCAACCTGTGCCTCCCAGGTTCACGTCATTCTCCTGCCTCAGCCTCCCAAGTAGCTGGGACTGCAGGTGCATGCCACCACACCTGGCTATTTTTTGTATTTTTAGTAGAGGCAGGGTTTCACCATGTTGGCCAGGGTGGTCTCAATCTCTTGATCTTGTGATCCACCTGCCTTGGCTTCCCAAAGTGCTAGGATTACAGGCGTGAGCCACTGCACCTTGCCAGCAGTGATGACTGCTAAGCCAGGGACCTTTTTATTTGTGGCCCACTGCCTGTCATATGGGTGGTCACTTAAGTGTCCTTCAAGGTGATTATCTAGTCAGCCCGTGTTCCACTTGAGGAAAATGAAGATGAGAGGTCAGTTTTAGACATGACACAGGGCAGCTGAAAGGCCAGGAAAGGTTTTATGGTAAACAAGGATTACAGGAAAAGCTGGGAGTAGATGGGTCATTTATTCTTTGTTTAAGGATTAATCAGTCCTTGTTCTCGCTAATGGCTCTGCCATTTTTCTGTGTGTTAATCCAGGAGGAATTTTGTTGTCAGAGAATAAAAGGAGGTTGTCCATAATTGACTTTAAGCAGCAATCAGTAAAACATTGAGCTCTTCAGCTCCGCCTTTCTTGTAAGTTTATCATTTCTTCTCAGTGGTTGTGAACATCACGTGATAATGTATTTCCATAAATTTGGGACCCTGAAATCCAAGTGAACTTTCTGTTTGTCCATATATATCTAATATTTTAAAAATACTATTAGGATAGAAACTGATTTCCTTCAGCTGAAGTCATTTCCTTTAAAAAAAGTTCATTCAGGTGTATTTCATATCATATGGCAGTTTTTAATATGTGTTATATCCTTCTAGGCTCTGGAAATTGGAAAACCAAGAAGGTTTTGATGTTTTGTGTGACGCCACCTGAATTAGAAACCAAGATGAACATAACCAAAGGTGGTCTGGTGTTGTTTTCAGCAAACTCAAATTCTTCATGTATGGAGCTCTCAAAGAAAATTGCAGAGTGAGTTATAATTGTACCATTAAAATCTATATTCATTATGTAATGCTTTAAATTTGATAATCAGATTAGCGGTGATTGTTAAACTTGAAAGCAGATATTTTATAATTATATGGGTATCTTTTTTTTCATCATGCAAGATGTTCGTGTAACATGTCTCATCTGTATATATTAAGGGCTATTCTTTTTATAAACTATCCCATCTCCCTACATATTCTTTCAGCAGACATTTATTGAGTGCCTTATAAGTGCCAGGAATTGTGTTAGGTGCTATATATATATAAAATTATTTGAGTATAAAGCACATTCGGGCCGGGCGCGTTGGCTTACGCCTGTAATCCCAGCACTTTGGGAGGCCAAGGCAGGTGGATCATGAGGTCAGGAGATTGAGACCATCCTGGTTAACATGGTGAAACCCCGCGTCTACTAAAAATACAAAAAATTGGCTGAGCGTGGTGGCACACACCTGTAGTCCCAGCTATTTGGGAGGCTGAGGCAGGAGAATAGCTTGAATGTGGAAGGCTAGCAGTGACCTGAGATTGCACCATTGCACTCAGCCTGGGCAACAGAGTGAGATTCTGTCTCAAAAAAAAAGAACATTGACATGTATATTATATGAAATAACTTGTAGCTTATAGTTTAGTATAATTTTAGGTATGTATTAAACAAATACCCCTACTGTGTACTAGACCTTGATCTAGATGTTGGGGATTATCAGTGAGTCAAGATCCATCCTTTTTATGAAATTGACATTTTAGTAGGAAGCCAAACAGAAATCAAGTCAACAAAACAAACAAGGTAATTTCAGATGAAGATCAATGCTGTGAAGAAAACTGTGTGAAAGGAATGATGGGACAGGTTGTTCTGCTTTAGCATGTGTGCTGAAGTGCCTTTAAACTGAGGGGATGGTATGTGAGTTGAGAAACCTTAATAAGCCACCAAGTGAAGATCTGGAGGCAGAGCCCCCCAAGCAGAGGGGACGGAAGATTCCAAGGCCCTGCAGCATGCAGGAGGGGTCCTTGGTGTGTCTCAGGAACATGGGCTGGAGTGCAGAGTGTCCAAGGAAGATGGCTGGTGAGGCAGGCAGAGAGGGACTGCGTAGTCCTTCCTGGGAAAACGTGGGGTTGGGGTGAGGGGCTAGGTAATGGATTGACGTAACAATTTAATATTGACTTTAAATTTTATAAGAAGAATAACTTTATTTTATTTTACTTATCAATTTACACATCTCCTTAAATAGTAAAGATACTGGGTTTCTTCTGTTACTTTTTCAGCTTTTTCCCCCTTTCTCTTCTCTAGGCGGCTGGGGGTGGAGATGGGCAAAGTGCAGGTTTACCAGGAACCTAACAGAGGTGAGCAATCTTGGGCACGTGGAACATTGACCTTTTCGTGGAATGTGGCATATTGGCTCAGTCCTTCATCCTTTACTATTGAAACGATTTGATTCAGTTGTACATTTCCATTAGCAAGAAGTCAGGCAGGCAAGGTAGAACAGAGTGGTTTTTTAGCTCTCACTAATACCAGCTAGATATGTAACCCTGGTGCAAGTCATTTCTGGGGCTTGAACTCCAGTTCTGAAACTTCATTCAGTAAAAGCTGCAGACATATTTGAACCAGCTGGTCAACTGAATGAACATGAGCTCAACCGTTGCTTAAATTTATGTCACCTTAGGCAAGACGAATAAATCCTGTCACCTTAGTCAGGATGAGTAAATCCTGTGTGACCGCAGTTTTAGTTAGTTATTCTTTACCTGCACCTAAGTTGCCTTAGGTTAGACTTCATAAAATATTGTTAAGAAATACTTTTTGCTAATTGGTACATGTCATTACATATTATCCCAAGTTGTAAAAAAAAAGTGTTATTTAATCTTTGTAGGGCCGGGTGTGGTGGCTCACACCTCTAATCCCAGCAGTTTGGGAGGCCGAGGCAGGCAGATTCCTCGAGCTCAGGAGTTTGAGACCAGCCTGGGCAACATGGCAAAACACTGTCTCTACTAAAAATACAAAAATTAGCCAGGAGTGGTGGTTTGCACTTGTAGTCCCAGCTACTAGGGAGGCTGAGGTGGTAGGAGTGCTTGAGCCCGGAAGGTAGAGGCTGCAGTGAGCCATGATCACACCACTGCACTCCAGCTTGGGTGACAAAGTGAGACCCTGTCTCAAAAATAAATAAATAAACAAAAAGTAATCATTGTAATTTCTTTAGCAATGGTGAATATTTGATATTATTTTAGGCCAGGTGCGGTGGCTCATGCCTGTAATCCCAGCACTTTGAGACGCTGAGGTGGGTGGATCACCTGAGGTCAGGAGTTCGTAGACCAGCCTGGCCAACATGGAGAAACCCTGTCTTTACTCAAAATACAAAAATCGGCCAGGCATGGTGGCAAACGCCTGTAATCCCAGCTACTTGGGAGGCTGAGGCAGGAGATTCGCTTGAGCTCAGGAGGTGGAGGTTGCAGTGAGCCAAGATTGCGCCATTGCACTCCAGCCTGGGGGACAAAAGCGAGACTTTGTCTCAAAAAAAAAAGAAAAAAATTATTTTAGCAGGAGCATTGGACAGCTTGCATGGACTTCAGAGTTACACACCTTATCCTTGACAAGTTATTTAACCTTTCTAAACTATGAATTAACTGTAAATTAGGGCTGTTTTGAGGATTAAGTGGGATAACTTGTGTGCCTAACAGTTTTTGGCACACAGTAGATGATCAATAAATACTTATTCCTGTTCCTTTTCCACTAGAAGATTTAAAATATATATATATATATGTGTGTGGTTTTTTTTTTTTGGTAGAGCAAGGGTCTCATTATGTTGCCCAGGCTCATCTCAAACTCTTGGGCAAAAGCAATTCTCCCATTTCAGCCTCCCAAACTGCTAGGATTACAGGTGTGAGCCACCAGGCCTGGCCCCACTGCAGGATTTTATCAAATATTTACATATTTTAAAGCCTACAGGAGGCTTTGATAAAAAGGCAGAAGTTTTGCTGTTCCCATGTTTATCTCCATTACTGCCTCTTTCCTGTCTGCCAAGATCCCTGTGTGGCGTCAGTAGGGAAAAAGTATAATTAAATTCTGTAAGGAGAGTTTGGAGAAGATTCTTCCCCTAGAGGGAATTGAATAATGTTCTTTGTCTGGAGTCTAGGACGGAAGGTGAAAGGGAGAGGCAGTGGCATAAGACTCTAGGAGGTTGGTCCACTCTCCAGGTTTCTAAATAAAGGGAGGGAAAATACTTGGTGTTTATTGGGAAGGAAGGAAGTAATATTTGTGGATTTCTTACTGTTACCAGATACTGAAAAACTGAGTTCAGGGATTGACGTTAGGTATGAGGTCCAGTTTGAATCCAGATCTCCCTGACTCTAAAGCTCATTTTCTTTTCTTTTCTTTTCTGTTCTTTTTTTTTTTTTTTTTTTTGAGGCAGGGTCTTTTGTGTCACTCAGGCTGGAGTGCAGTGGCATGATCAGGGCTCACTGCAGCCTCTGCCTCCTGGGCTCAAGTGCTCCTCCCATCTTAGCCTCCTCAGTAGCTGATACTACAGGTGGGCACCGTGCTGCCAAGCCAATTTTTTTTTTTTTTAATATGGAGTCTTGCTGTGTCACCCAGGCTGGAGTGCAGTGGGGCAATCTCGGCTCACTGCCACCTCCACCTCCCAGGTTTGAGTGATACTCCTGCCTCAGCCTCCCAAGTAGGTGGGCTTACAGTTGTGTGCCACCACCCCCAACTAATTTTTTGTATTTTTAGTAGAGACGGGGTTTCACCATGTTGGCCAGGTTGGTCTCGAACTTCGGACCTCAAATGATCTGTCCACCTCAGCTTCCCAAACTATTTTCCTACATTTTTAATGAAAATGTTCAAACATATAAAAAAGTTGAAAGAATAGTATAGTGAACTGCCACCTAGCTTGAACAGTTAACATTTTGCCATATGAGTATGTATGTGGGGAACCATTTGAAATTAAGTTGCAGGCCAGGCGTGGTGGCTCACACCTGTAAACCCAGCACGTTTGGATGTCGAGGCAGGTGGATCTCTTGAGCCCGGGAGGTCAAGACTGCAGTGAGCCTTGACTCACTGCACCATATTTGCACCACTGCACTCCGGCCTAGGCAACAGGGCGAGATGTGTCTCAAAAAAAGAAAAAGAAATGTAAGTTGCAGACACTTAATCCTTGAATACTTGACCATGCATCCTCTAGGAATAATTACTTTCACCTAAATAAATATGATACCATTATCACATTGAAAGAAATTACAGGCAGGGCATGGTGGCTCACACCTGTAATCTCAGCACTTTGTGGGGTCAAGGTGGGCAGATCACTTGAGACCAGAAGTTCAAGACTAACCTGAGCAACATGGCAAAACGCCATCTTTACCAAAGATAAAGAAATCAGCCAGGGTTGGTGGTGCGTACGTGTAATCCTAGCTACTCAGGAGGCTGAGGCAGGAAGATCACTTGAGTTCAGGAGGTGGAGGTTGTAGTGAGCTGGGATCACACCACTGCACTCCAGCCTGGGCAACAGAGCGAGACCCTGTCTCAAAAAAAAAAAAAAAAAGGAAAATAAAATTAGCTTAACAATTAAGGACAATTCTTTTTTTTTCCTGTGGTCTCAAGTGATCTGCCCGCCTTGGCCTCCCAAGGTGCTGGAATTACAGGTGTGAGACACCACACCGGGCCCAACAATGATTCTTTAATCATCTAATATGTGGCCTATATTCACATTTCCCTAGTTGTCCTAAAGGGTTTTTTATTTTTTGTTTTTTTGAGATGGAGTCTGGCTTTGTCACCCAGGCTGGATTGCAGTGGTGTGATCTTGGCTTACTGCAGCCTCTGCCTCCCAGGTTCAAGCAGTTCTCCTGCCTCACCCTCCTGAGTAGCTGGGATTATAGGTGTGCACCACCAAACCCAGCTAATGTTTGTATTTTTAGTAGAGACGAAGTTTCACTATGTTGTCCAGGCTAGCCTTGAACTCCTAAACTCAGATGATCCGTCTGCCTGGGCCTCCCAAAGTGCTGGGATTACAGGTGTGAGCCACCACGCCTGACCTAAAGGGTTTTTTATAGTTGTTTCCCCCTCTCCGCCCCAAACCAGGATGCTTAGTTGAAGGGAATTTTGTAAAAAATATATATCTTTAGTCTCTTCTATTTTAAAACAATCTCCTCACTTCTTCCTTTTTCTTCCTATGACAGTGACTTGTTGAAGAGGTTGTCTTGTAGAATGTCCCATTATGGATCTGTCTAATTGTTTCCTTATGGCTGATCACACATATTTTGAGAGTAGGGATATTGTGTCTTATTTATCTTTGTTTCTCACAACATACAGTATTTTGTACCTAATACATTCTCAATTTATGCTAATTGAATGAGCATATAATTTTCTTTTTCTTTTTTTTTTTTTTTTTTTTTTTTTGAGGCAGAGCTTCGCTCTTGTTGCCCAGGCTGTAGTGTAGTGGCACGATCTCGGCTCACCGCAACCTCCGCCTCCCGGCCTCAAGCAGTTCTCCTGCCTCAGCCTCACGAGTAGCTGGGATTACAGGCATGTGCCACCACGCCTGGCTAATTTTGTATTTTTGGTAGAGACGGGGTTCTCTGTGTTGGTCAGGCTGGTCTCAAACTCCTAACCTCAGGTGATTTGCCCGCCTCGGCCTCCCAAAGTGCTGGGATTATAGGCATGAGCCACTGTGCCTGGCCTATAATTTTCTATAAAGATACTATGCTCAGAGTGGTACAGCACTCACTGTTTGTGTATATAAGGGGTGAGAATTACATGTTTACTTATTTCAAGTCAGAAATATAATTCCCTCTTAAAGCTGTGTTTTAAAAAGTGTGATTAATAGCAGTATGTTTATTATCCCTTGTAACATCTAAAGCCTACTGAGTTTTATAACAGTTTTTGTTGCCATATTTTATTACATTAGGGAATCATGCAGTTTTTTTGTGTATTCTGAAAAATTTAAACTATATGCCTTTCCCTCTCTGCTTTTTCCTTTTCCTGCCAGAAACGAGAGTACAAATTCAAGAGTCCGTGAGGGGAAAAGATGTTTTCATCATCCAAACCGTTTCAAAGTGAGTATCCAGCAGAAATGTTGCTTTCTGGGTTTCTGTTTAGGCATGAATGTTTAAAATAATGACAGATGGCTAGCCAGGAAGAGTTACGATAGTCTTAAAATTAGTGTATCTTACCAATTTGGAATTTAGAAAACTAAGTTTTCTGACGTAACTGCTGACTTTTATGTGTTCTTTCAGTGTTTTTCTTTCTTTCTTTTTCTTTTTTTTTTTTGAGACAAAGTCCCACTCCATCACCCAGGCTGGAGTGCAGTGGTGAGATCTCAGCTCCCCGCAACCTCCTCCTCCTGGGTTCAAGTGATTCTCCTGCCTCAGCCTCCCGAGTAGCTGGTACTACAGTTGGCACCACCACGCCTGGATAATTTTTGTATTTTTAGTAGAGATGGAGTTTCACCATGTTGGCCAGGCTGGTCTTGAACTCCTGACCTCAGGCAATCCGCCCACCTCAGCCTCCCAAAGTGGTGGGATTACAGGTGTGAGCCACCGTGTCCAGCCACTCAGTGTTCTTAATGGGTAGAAGTAACCAAGTATTGAAGTAGAGGGTCTTTTTTTTTTTTTTAAAAGACGGAGTTTCACTCTTGTTGCCCAGGCTGGAGTGCAATAGCATGATCTTGGCTCAACATGACCTCCACTTCCCAGGTTCAAGTAATTCTCCTGCCCCAGTCTCCTTAGTAGCTGGGATTACAGGCATGTGTCACCACACCTGGCTAATTTTGTGTTTTTAGTAGATACAGGGTTTCTCCATATTAGTTAGGCTGGTCTCGAACTTTCAACCTCAGGTGATTCACCCGCCTCAGCCTCCCAAAATGCTGGGATTACAGGCGTGAGCCACTGTGCCCAGAGTAGAGGCTGTTAATGATAATAGTATCCATTAAGTTTCCTAACAATTAATAGCCAGAATTTTATAAAACTTGCAGTGAAGCATTTCTAGTTCCCTCCTCTCCCCGAAAGAAACAGAGGCTAGGGGAGGAGAGCTTTCTTAGTTAGGGTTCTTTTAAGCTTTTATTGCATATAAAAGTGATCATTACTTACTGTTTTGTTCCATAAATTAAATTAGCTGAGAGGATAAAAGACTGTACTGAAGGAATGTGTGTTCCTGTCTGGTGTGACCTTTGATATACCTGTGTTCTGGAAATTGGTCACATATGTTTAAGCCGGGTATAGAAGGTTTAGTGCGGTGAGGCTCTCTCTGGCACTCTGAAAGGGAGGGTGATCACATGGAGCCCTACTTTTTTTTTTCTTTTTATTTTCTCTTAGAGATAAGGTCTAGATCTGTTGTCCAGGCTGGAGTGCAGTGGTGAGATCATAGCTCACTACAGCCTCAAACTCCTGGGCTCAAACTGTCCTCCTGCCTCAGCCTCCCAAGTAACTGGGACTACAGGCATGCACCAGCATGCTCACATAATTTTTTCATTTCTTGTAGAGATGGAGGTCTCACTGTATTGCCCAGCTGGTCTCAAACTTTTGACCTCAAGTGATCCTCCTGCCTGGACCTCCTGTATTGCTGGGATTCCAGCAATATAGAAAGTGAGCCTATCACACCTGGCCTTAAAGCCCCACTTTCCATTGTGTGTTTGTCCACAAATGTCCCCAAACGCTTCTATGTATGAAGTTCTTCACTCAGAACAATTTTTAATGTCTAGAAATCAGTTTGTCTAGTGCATGTTTTTTTTTTTTTTTTTTTTTTTGAGTTGGAGTCTTGCTCTGTCACCCAGGCTGGAGTGCAGCGGTGCAATCTCGGCTCACTGCAAGCTCCGCCTCCCGGGTTCACGCCATTCTCCTGCCTCAGCCTCCCCAGCAGCTGGGACTACAGGTGCACGCTGCCAGGCCCGGCTAATTTTTTTGTATTTTTAGTAAAGACGGGATTTCACCATGTTAGCCAGGATGGTCTTGGTCTCCTGATCTCGTGATCTGCCCGCCTTGGCCTCCCAAAGTGCTGGGATTACAGGATGAGCCACCGTGCCCGGCCTAGTGCATTATTTTTTAGCTTAGAGAGTCCGAAAGTTGCTGCATGCTTAATTTGTATATATACATATATAATAAATATCAACGAAAAGAGAAGAAGAGGGAAATTTCGGGAGACTTTAGTCTTAGAACACACATTTTTTCACCTAAATTTTGAACATTTTCTGTCCTGGTCTTTGGTTCATTGGGATGAAGTCACAAAACCCCCATCTCTCCTGGGAAGAGGAGTGGCAGGGGAGACCTGTCCTTGCATCCCAGTGCCCTGGCAAACGGGTGTGCTCTGAAGGAGAGATGGTGTGGAGGGCCTTTGCCACGGTGCCCTGGCTTCAACTTCTGCTGTGACACCCAGGATTCTCAGCAGAGCTGGAGGTGGAGGCGCTGAGCGCTAATTGCCCCTGCTGCTGCTGTCCTCTTTCCCAGGTCTGCCGCCAAACCAGGGTGGAAGTGGAGGACTCCCCTGTGCCCACATCTTAACCCTTCACCTCCAGCATCAGGGCAGGGAAGATGTGGGCCCAGAACAACTTACACTGCTTCTGGCTCCTTGGTTTCTGTGTCTGTGGTACTTTTATCTCCTTACAGACAAGTGTGATTCCATTGGATAAATGCACGAAGGTTGTGTGGATTACCCAAGTAGATGAGTAGGCATTGAGGGCCCCCCTTGGACTTAGAATTTAGGACTTCAGAAGGGTGACTGCTGATCCTTCTCATTTTCAAGTCCTTCTGGTTCTTTATTTTTGTACATTTCAATACTTATCCCGTGCCCCTGCCTTTTGTCAGTTTCATATTCCTGTAATCGGAACCACTCAGCACCCCTTTCATTTTCTCTCTCTCTCTCATTTTGCATTGTTCCATACCTGATGTAAGCTTGTGTTAACTCGGGTTCCCAGTCTTGTCCATGTTGCAGAGTCTGGACCTCATGGTCTTCTTTGTGAAATACCATGAAATAACATTTAGTGTTGAGGGCCAGATGTGGTGGCTCATGCCTGTAATTCTGGCACTTTGGGAGGTCAAGGTGGGCATGTCAGTTGAGGCCAGGAGTTTGAGACCAGCCTGGCCAACATGGTGAAACCCTGTCTCTACTAAAAATACAAAAAATTAGCTGGGCATAGTCATGAGGGCCTGTAGTCCCAGCTACTCAGGTGGCTGAGGCACGAGAATTGCTTGAACCCGGGAGGCAGAGGTTGTAGTGAGCTGAGATCGCGCTACTGCATTCCAGCCTGGGTAACAGAACGAGGCTCCATCTCAAAGGAAAAAAAAAAAAAAGACTGGGTGAGGTGGCTTACACTTGTAATCCCAGCACTTTGGAAGGCTGAGATGGGTGGATCAGGAGTTCAAGACCAGCCTGGCCAACATGGTGAAACCCCGTCTCTACTAAAAGTACAAAAATTAGCTGGGCGTGGTGATGTGCACTTGTAATTCCAGCTAGTTAGGAGGCTGAGGCATGAGAATCACTTGAACCCAGGAGACGGCGGGTGCAGTGAGCCAAGATTGCACCACTGTACTCCAGGCTGGGTGATAGAGTGAGACTCTGTCTCCAAAAAAAAAAAAAAAAAGCCTGTAATCCCACTACTTTGGGAGGCCCAGGCAGGCAGATCACCTGAGGTCAGAAGTTCGAGAGCAGCCTGACCAACATGGAGAAACCCTGTCTCTACTAAAAATGCAAAATTAGCTGGGCATGGTGGCACATACCTGTAATCCCAGCTACTTGGGAGGCTGAAGCAGGAGAATTGCGTGAACCTGGGAGGCAGAGGTTACGGTGAGCCGAGATTGTGCCATTGCACTGCAGCGTGGACAACAAGAACAAAACTCCGTCTCAAAAAAAAAAAAAGATTTAGTGTGGTCAGATACATCTTATACTCTGTTTTACTTCAGATTAGTGGTAGCACTGGAAATAAAGTAGAAATTTAAAATTAAGAAAATTCCATCCATTTGCTGAAGTTTTCCTGTATTTCAAACAAGACTTTCCTTATTTGAGTTCAGTAATGGAAAGCCTTGTTCCAGCTCACAGAACAATGGTGCTCCTGGGAGTGTGGTTTGGGAGCCTTGGGGTGTCTTTACCTTCACTGTCAGTTCCTCCACTCTTATCCTTCCCATAGAATACTTTTCTGAAAATCTTTTTTTTTCCCTAAGTGAATTAACACAGGGTGAAAGTCTGTTTTAACTCATCGGATGTCAGACTTGTTGGATAGTGACAGAGAACCTACTCACTCAAATGTTCTGTGTTTCCATTCACTCCTGTTGTTAACAAATACTTATTTTGAATGTCTACAATATGCGAGTTACAGTTAGTTACACGTATTCGAGATGCCTCCATGATTAAAACAGAAAGATCCTTGTCCTTGTGGAGTTTATATTCCAGTGGAGGAAGACATACAGTGAGCATAATAAAGAAATAGATTATCTAGAAGGTGATGAGTGGTTTGGGAAAAAAAAAAAAAGACAGCATGGTGAGATGATGGTGGCAAGAGGGCAGAGCGAGGCAGACAGGGTAGGCCTCATTGGGGAGGTGACATTTGAACAAAGACCAGAGAAGTTGAGGGAGAGACTAGGTGGGGAGGAAGGCATTGCAGGCAGTGGGAACACCCAGAGCAAGGCCCCTAGTGGTGTGAGCTGCCTGTGGGAGGACTGACCAGGGCCAGGTGTGGCTGGGCAGGAGGGGAGGGGCAGATCCTCAAGTTTGGACTGGAGTTGTAAATTTGAGAGTTGCCACCATCTATGAAGTTGTGAAATTAGATGAGAAGCCCAAAGGACAAGAGGAAACAGAAGGAGAGGACACATGAGCAAGTCCTGGGACATGAGGCTGGAGAGAAGAACCAGCAAAAGAAACCAAGGGTGGAAGGAAGAGACCAGAGAGGGGCATTCTGGAAGCCAAGTGACCGTGGACGTGGATGTGGCCGCGTGGAGGCCACTGATGACCTTTACGAAAACAAAGCTTCACTGGACTATCTGGGAGAGAATGAGAGTAGATAAGTTGGAGATAGTGTAGATGACTCTCTTGAGATGTACAGCAAAGGGGATCAGAGGGAAGAATGGTTGTGAGTCGTATTAATAGAAGTAACAGAATGTTTGTGGCCAATGGGTAGTCAGTGCTGAAGGCAGGAGAGGAGGGAGAATTGCTGACATAGGTGTGCCATTTGGAGGGATTAGTTTTAGGGCCACTGGCATGGCAATTTCCTCTGACTGATGACTGAGGGCAGGCCGACTCCTGGGGCACAGATGCACATAGTGGGAGCTTGTGGACACGCTCCTCTAACAGAGTATTTAAGTAGGGTTGTCAGTTGAGAGCGGATGGTGGGGGATCTTATGGAGGCCTGAGAAAAGAGGAATTTATTGGTTGGGTTTTTTCTCCTTGCACCTTGGGTTATGTAAAGGCATGAGTAACACACTGCTGACACTTTTTGGAACAGGGAATACTGTATTGTAGATCCCTTGATGAGATTTACTGTGTCTTGGTTACAGGGATGTGAACACCACCATCATGGAGCTCCTGATCATGGTGTATGCATGTAAGACCTCTTGTGCCAAGAGCATCATCGGCGTGATACCTTACTTTCCTTACAGCAAGCAGTGCAAGATGAGAAAAAGAGGCTCTATTGTCTCTAAATTGCTGGCTTCCATGATGTGCAAAGCTGGTAAGAGTGGCAGATGTTTCACAATTAATTGGGAGCCTGGGAGCTTTATTTATTCATTCTCTCTCTTTTAAGACAGGGTTTTGCCCTGTCACCCAGACTGGAGTGCAGTGGCATGATCATAGCTAACTGCAACTTGAACTCCTGGGGTCAAGCAGTCCACCAGAACCTCCCAAGTAGCTAGGACTATAGGCACACACCACCGTGCCTGCTAATTTTTAAATTTTTTGTAGATATGGGGTCTTACTATGTTGTCCAGGCTGGTTTTGAACTGCTGGCCTCAAGGGATCCTTCTGCTTCGGCCTCCCAGAGTGCTGAGATTATAGTCATGAACCACCATACCCTGCTGGAGTTTTATTTTTACCTTGGAAATATCAAAGTAAAGGCTGGGCGCAGTGGCTCATGCCTGTAATCCCAGTGCGTTGGAAAGCTATGTGGGATGATCTTTGAACTCCTGGGCTCAAGTGATCCTCCTGTGTAGTTGGAACTACAGGCATATACCACCATGCCTGCCTAGATAGGCATATATTGGAAAAGATATATATTATTCTGTGTTAGGCATTTTCAGGTAACATCCTAAGTATTTTTCCTGTGTTTCTAATTAACCTTCATAGTTATTATTGTGTATGTGTGTCGATACATTTGTGTGTGTTTGCACACTTGTGTAAGTGCATATGATTTTATTTTATTTATTTATTTAGAGATGGAGTTTCGCTCCTGTTGCCCAGGCTGGAGTGCAGTGATGCAGTCTCAGCTCACTGCAACTTCCGCCTCCCGGGTTCAAGCAATTCTCCTGCCTCAGCCTCCCGAGTAGCTGGGATTACAGGCATGCGCCACCGTGCTTGGCTAGTTTTGTGTTTTTAATAGAGACAGGGTTTCTCCATGTTGGTCAGGCTGGTCTCGAACTCCCAACCTCATCCGCCCGCCTGGGCCTCCCAAAGTGCTGGGATTACAGGTGTGAGCCACTGTACCCGGCCTATGATTTTATTTTTTATTTTAATTTTTATTCTGTTTTGTTTATTTTTTTTGAGACGGAGTCTTGTTCTGTTGCCCAGGCTGGAGTGCTGGTGCCGCCTTGACTCACTTCAACCTCTGCCTCCTGGGTTCAAGCGATTCTTGTACCTTAGCTTCTCGAGTAGCTGGGACTACAGGCACCTGCCACCACACCCGGCTAATTTTTGTATTTTTTTTATTAATGAATATAAAAAATATATTTTATTATTTGTATTTGCTTTTCCCCCAGATTTGACTACATGGATAGTTTTAGAAGCTTGAGTTCCTAAGATAATTCCACAGCTACACTGGCTCCTACAATGTGACTGAGTGTGGTTAGGGAAATATTCTTGGGGATTCTGAACAACTAGACTCTTAGAAGCTTAAAAATAATAGGTGCTTTCATTAGGATCCTTCTAACATGGAAAAAATGCAGCCATTGTCCATTAAAACACAATCCAATTTGGGTACTCTTCAGGTTTTCTAAGTACCCCACCTGAATAATAAGACTAGGCCACCATATTTTCTGGCAACCCAGCCTACAGTCACTGCCATCTTCCTAATTAGCAGCCTCCCAAGCTGCACTAAAACTGGGATAATTTTTGTATTTCTAGTAGAGATGGGGTTTTGCTGTGTTGGCCAGGCTGGTCTCGAACTCCTGACCTCAAGTGATCCACTTGCCTTGGGCTCCTAGAGTGCTGGGATTACAGGCACAAGCCACCACACCCAGCCTGAATGTATATGATGTTAGAAAGTACGTATCATGGAGCATTTTCACAGAGTGAATAGAAGTCCCCATGTCACTGCATTTTAACACAGGTACTTATTGTAGAATAAACCTTCTTTTGTTTGTTTGTTTTTTGAGATGGAGTCTTGCTCTGTTGCCCAGGCTAGAGTGCAGAGGTGTGATCTTGGTTCACTGCAACCTCCACCACCTGGGTTCAAGCAGTTCTCCTGCCTCAGCCCCCCGAGTAGCTGGGATTACAGGCACACACCACCACGCCTGGCTAGTTTTTGTATTTTTAGTAGAGATGAGGTTTCACCGTGTTGGCCAGGCTGGTCTTGAACTCTTGACCTCAGGTGGTCCACCTTTGGCCTCCCAGAGTGCTGGGATTAGAGGCGTGAGCCACCATGCCCAGCCCAGAATAAACTTTTTAAGATATTTTTTCAATAAAGGCAAACGTAAAACAAAAATTTAAAAACTAGGCAGGGTGCGGTGGCTCACGCCTGTAATCCCCATACTTTGGGAGGCCAAGGTGGACAGATCACCTGAGTTTGGGAGTTCGAGAGCAGCCTGACCAACATGGAGAAACCCTGTCTCTACTAAAAATACAAAATTAGCCAGGTGTGGTGGCACATGCCTGTAATCCCAGCTACTTGGGAGGCTGAGGCAGGAGAGACACTTGAACCCAGGAGGTGGAGGTTGTGGTGAGCCGAGATCCCACCTTTGCACTCCGACCTGGGCAACAAGAGCAAAACTCCATCTCAAAAAAAAAAAAAAAAAAAATTTTAAAACTCAAACCGAAGCAACCTCAGGAGCCTACCCCATTGTAAACGCCATGACAGGCAGCTGGTGAGGGGAGCAGGCTTGCCTGCTGAATCTTCAGGAAAGGGCCTTGCTTGATGGGCCACCAGGCTTACTTCCTGTTCTTTTGGGCAAGTTAATGCTTTAAACAATTTTTCATATTAAATTTTCCTTACACTTTTCTGGTGATCGTTACAAAGGTAGTGAAGATTTTCTGTTTTCTCCAATTTCCAGGCTGGTGCAGTTTATCTTAATTTCTTTTTTTTTTTCCCGCGGATCTCAGTCCTGTTGCCCGGGCTAGGGTGCAGTGGTGTGATCACCACTGCTCACTACCAGGAGGTAGCCTTGACCTCCTGGGTTCAAGTGATCCTCCCACCTCAGCCTCCAGAGTAACTGGGGACTACCGGCATGCACCACCGTACCTGACTAGTTTTTTGTATTTTTAGCAGAAATGGAGTCTCACCATGTTCCCCAGGCCATTTTCAAACACCTGGGCTCAAGTGATACTCCTGCCTCGGCCTCCCAAAGTGCTGGGATTACAGGCACGAGCCCCCACACCTGGCTGACTTGTTATCTTAAGATTGGGGTTTGCCATGCCTGTTAAAGAAACTTCAAGAAGATATGATCTGCTCTAATAGAAATTTTAAAGACTCTTCCGTATTACTATTATCTTTGTTATGTCATGACTATTATTTATTTATTTATTTATTTATTTCGAGATGGAATCTCACTGTGTCGCCCAGGCCGGAGTGCAGTGGCATGATCTCAGCTCACTGCAACCTCCACCTTCCGGGTTCAAGTGATTCTCCTGCCTCAGCCTCCCTAGTAGCTGAGATTACAGGTACTTGCCACCACACTTGTCTAATTTTTGTATTTTTATTAGAGACGGGGTTTCACCATGTTGGCCAGGCTGGTCTTGAACTCCTGACCTCAGGTGATCCTCCTGCCTCGGCCTCCCAAAGTGCTGGGATTACAGCTGTGAGCCACCGCACCTGGCCAAAACTTTAAATTGATGTGAAAATCAGGCATCTCACAGTACTAAAAAATAAATAAATAAAATTCTGAAAAATACAAGTGCTGAGTTTTTTTGATGGTAGAGCAATTTTTTTTTTTTTTTTTGAGACCGAGCCTTCCCCTTTTGCCCAGGCTGGAGTGAAATGGTGCAATCTTGGCTCACTGCAACCTCAGCCCCCCAGGTTCAAGTGATTACTTGAGGTCAGGAGTTCAAGACCAACCTGGCCAATATGATGAAACGCTGTCTCTACTAAAAATACAGAATTAGCTGGGCGTGGTGGCATGTACCTGTATTCCCAGCTACTTTCAAGGCCGAGGTGAGAGGACTGCTTGAGCCTGGGAGTTCAAGGCTGCAGTTAGCTATTATCATGCTACTGCACTCCAGCCTAGGTAACAGAGTGAGATCCCATCTTAAAAAAAAAGAAAACAAAACTATTTATTGCTTGTGTCTGCTTTATTTTCAAAGGTCTAACTCATCTTATTACTATGGATTTACACCAGAAGGAAATTCAGGGCTTCTTCAATATTCCTGTTGACAATTTAAGAGCATCTCCCTTCTTATTACAGTATATTCAAGAAGAGGTGAGCTAGCTCAAACCTTTTTATTTTAACATTCTGATTAAGGTTGAAAGATGTATTTCCATTTCCTTAGGATATCCCTGAAGGGTTAAAACTTGATGTATTCTACCTAAAGTACCATTATACTTTATAGATATAATCCAGCATATTTTAGAATTCTGAATCTGCAGTTTGTTTCTTTAGTTAAGCTCTTAAAACTGCTTTTTCTTTTGGACCTCAAGTACCGAGAATTGGACTAGATATGATTGTAATGAGTAATTCACTCTCATTACTAGTCTATGCTTGGTCCTGGTTCTGTTTTATATATCCATCTATCCATCCTGTCTGTCTGTCCACCTAGTTATAATAGTCAGCATCCATGATCCCCACTCCCAGCAGGAAAACTAGAATCATCAGAATGACTTAGAGCTGCTCGTGGGCTCCTTCTCTCTCCTCTCCCCTGCCTCCTTACATCCTAGGGAACCACTGTCCTGAAGCGGTGTTGAATTTATCCAGTGCTTTTTCTGTATTAGTGGAGATGGTCATGTTTTTTCCCTTCATTCTATTAATGTGGTTTATTACCACCCTTGCATCCTGGGATTACATTTGTTTTTCTTTGATATGAGTTAGCATTTTTGTGACTTGCTATTTAAGAAAGCTTTTAAAATGTTAATTGATATTGTACTTAGCTATTTTGCTTTCTTTTTTTTTTTTTTTTTTTTTTTTTTTTTTTGAGATGGAGTCTCGCCCTGTCACGCCCAGGCTGGAATGCAATGGCGTGATCTCAGCCCACTGAAACCTCCACCTCCCAGGTTCAAGCAATTCTTCTACCTCAGCCTCCCAAGTAGCTGGATTATAGGCATGCACTACCACCCCTGGCTAATTTTTTGTATCTTTAGTAGAGACGGGGTTTCAGCATGTTGGCCAGGCTGGTCTTGAACTCCTGACCTTGTGATCTGCCCGCCTCGGCCTCCCAAAGTGCTGGGATTACAGGCATGAGCCACTGCACCTGGCCTTAGCTGTTTTTCTTATATAAATTATTTCTCTCTTTAATCACTTTTCTAGAGAGCTTCTTTTTACAGTACTTTATTTAAAAGATGGCAGTTTATAGGTTTCTGAGGAACTTCTTTCTGGTAAGAGTACAGGGCTTCCCCATTCTCCAGCAATTGATATAAGTTCTTATAGAGAAAATGAATTTAAGTATTTTTGAAAGAGAAAAATGTAAAATATTCTGCTTTTTTTTTCTTTAAAGTTACACACAAGAAACATAAAAACTCTAGTCCAGGCGCAGTGGCTCACGCCTATAATCCCAGCACTTTGGAAGTCTGAGGCAGGTGGATCACTTGAGGTCAGGAGTTCAGACCAGCCTAGCCAACATGGTGAAACTCCGTCTCTACTAAAAATACATAATTAGCTGGATATGGTGGTGGGCGCCTGTAATCCCAGTTATTTGGGAGGCTGAGGCAGGAGAATTGCTTGAACTTGGGAGGTGGAGGTTGCAGTGAGCCAGGATTGTGCCATGGCACTCCTGCCTGGGTGACAGAGTGAGACTCTGTCTCATCAAAAACAAAAAAGAAAACAAAAATACTCTAACAAATTCAAAAAATAATAGAGACTTTAATTTTGCCTGAAAATTTTTTTTGTTGTTCTTTGAGATAGGGTCTTTCTCTGTCACCCAGGCTGGAGTGCTGTGGTGCCATGATAGCTCACTGCAACCTTGAACTCCTGGGCTCAAGAGATTTCTCCCACCTCAGTCTCCTGAGTAACTGAGATTAGAGGTGTGCCACTACACCTAGCTAATTAAAAAAAAATATTTCCAGAGTTAGAATCTTGCTATGTTACCCAGGCTGGTCTCAAACTCTGTGCCTGCCCTAATTTTACCTGAATATTATTCTCAGTTGTGAGAGAGGGTGAGATAAAATTGGCAAATGTCTTGATAGGGAAGGATGAAGAGGTTTAGGCAGAGAGAGAGTGAGAGGGTGAGCATTGAACGTGGTTCAGTTAGCAACCAGCCATGCGGAGAAACCTGTCATTTTGGAAGAAATAGAGCAGTCGCTATAGACTTATATTGGTTGCTATCGACATCTTGTGGTTTTAGGGGATGTTTCCATTCAAGACACAGGCATGTTGTGTGCCAGTGTCTCAAGGCACAAATGGCAATTGGACCTCTTGAGGGATGCCCAGCGGGTGAGCCTAAAGAACGGAGGCTGGGGCACCCTTGTGCTGGTCGCAAGGTCAGGCTGGAAGCCTAAGCTTAGTCATTGCCTGTAGTGCAGGCTTCTACCTCAGGATGACACTGCCTTCTACTTGAAAAAATCCCCATTTTAGTTTCATTGTTGAGAAGAAGTCAGGGCTGGGTGTGGTGGCCCACACCTATAATCCCAGCACTTTGAGAGGCTGAGGAGGTTGGATCAGTTTAGTTCAGGAGTTCAAGATCATCCTTGGCAATGTGGCAAAACCGTCTCCACAACAACTACAAAAATTAACCGGGTGTGGTGGTGCATGCCTGTAGTCCCAGCTACTCAGGAGGACGAGAAGTGGGAGGATTGCTTGAGCCTGGGAGGTCGAAGTTGCCCAGGTGGTCGAGGCTGCATTGAGCTGTGATCTGGGTGACAGAATGAGATTCCGTCTTAAAAAAAAAAAAAAAAAATTAATCGGTGTTAAAAAGGAATTTTTGTCATATTGCTTTTTCTTTTTTTTTTTCTTTTTTTTTCTTTTTTTTTGAGACAGAGTCTCTCTTTGTCACTCAGGCTGGAACACAATCTCGGCTCACAGCAACCTCTGCCTCCCGGGTTCAAGCGATTCTCCTGCCTCGGCCTCCCAAGTAGCTGGGATTACAGGCATGCACCACCACACCTGGCTAATTTTGTATTTTTAGTAGAGACAGGGTTTCTCCATGTTGGTTAGGCTGGTCTCGAACTCCCAACCTCAGGTGATCTGCCCACCTTCGCCTCCCAAAGTGCTGGGATTACAGGCATGAGCCACCACACTTGGCCTAATTGTTGTATTTTTAGTAGAGATAGCGTTTCACCGTGTTGGCCAGGCTGGTCTTGAACTTCTGAACTCCAGAGATCTGCCTGCCTCAGCTTCCCAAAGTACTGGTATTACAGGCGTGAGCTACCACACCTGGCCTGTATTGCCTTTTTACAGTATACGTATCTTGTCCCTTTTGTTTTTATGTGTTAGAGTCTCTTAAAGCAGGGGATAGATATTCATGTTTCACTGAATCTAAGGTGCTGTCAGTCCAGGCTTACATTATTTTATGTCACCAAGAAAGAAGAAAACACTGCTAATTATACTGTGGCACCATGCCTTCTTGTCACTTAGTGATCCTATTCTGCAGGTTTTGATGCTGACACTTTCATCTCTGATAGCTCATACTTTCTCTATATCTTGTGTTTGTCACTGGAATTTAAGCACCTTCTGCCAGAGTTAGAAGGAACATTCGGGTACTAGGATACTCGTTTCCTTGAAACTTTTGCCATCTATTCTTTCATGGTTTTTTTGGTTTTTTTTTTTTTTTTTTTTTTTTTTTGAGACAGAATCTCGCTCTGTCGCCAAGGCTGGAGTGTAGTGGCGTGATCTCGGCTCACTGCAAGCTCCGCCACCCGGGTTCATGCCATTTTCCTGCTTCAGCCTCCCCAGTAGCTGGGACTACAGGCACCTACCACCATGCCTAGCTAATTTTTTTGTATTTTTAGTAGAGACGGGTTTCACCGTGTTAGCCAGGATGGTGTCAGTCTGCTGACCTAGTGATCCGCCTGCCTCGGCCTCCCAAAGTGCTGTGATTATAGGCGTGAGCCACTGCGCCCGGCCAACTTCTGCCATCTATTCTGAGGGCGTCTGTCAGTGTCTGTTGCCTTCCACTGCGTTGCTGGGGATGTGTCAGGCAGTCCTTTTCCAGTTCATTCCTTTTCACAGTTTCACCTACTGGTAGGGATCTTCCTTTCTTAAGTTTCATAAAGCATTTGATTGTTGCCTTGCAAGAAAATGTGGAATTGTATCATTTTTCCAGTGATAAATATTTGATTCATGAATATCAAATTACACCCTGATGATCCCTTCCTGTGTCTTTCTGCATACACGGTAAGTTTTCTTTTCTTTTTTTTCTTTTTGAGATGGAGTTTTGCTCTTGTTACCCAGGCTGGAATGCAATGGCGCGATCTCAGCTCACCGCAACCTCTGCCTCCCAGGTTCAAGCGATTCTCCTGCCTCAGCCTCCCAAGTAGCTGGGATTACAGGCATGGGCCACCATGCCCAGCTAATTTTGTATTTGTAGTAGAGAGGGAGTTTCTCCGTGTTGGTCAGGCTGGTCTTGAACTCCCGACCTCAGGTCATCCACCCACCTCAGCCTCCCAGAGTGCTGGAATTACAAGCGTGAGCCACCACACCCGACTTGATAATTTTTCATTTTAGTGAAAAATTTATTGAAAAGAATCATAGTAATTCTTTCTGGAGACATTTTAAATGGTTCAAATGATTGTCCTGCCTCAGCCTCCTGAGTAGCTGGATTACAAGTATGCACCACCACGCCTGGCTAATTTTTTTTTTGCATTTTTAGTAGAGAGGGGTTTCACTATGCTGGCCATGCTGGTCTTAGCTCAGATGTTCTGCCCGCCTTGGCCTCCCAAAGTGCTGGGATTGTGGGCATGAGCCACCACGCCTGGCCATCTTTGGGATTTTTTTTTAATCTGTTAAGTATTTCATCCCTTCTATTTCTTTTATTATTTTCCTTTGGGAACTATTAAGTCCTGAAAATTTTGGATCTAGTCTCTATAACTTTTAAGAACTTATTTTACTTTTTGCATACTTATATATAGCATTCTGGGGAAATTCCTTGGCTTGGTCTTCCCTGGTTTGTTCTTAAAGTTGTGTTTATTCTACTGTTAAGCCAGCCAGCTACTGGGTTTCTTTAGACCATAATAACTTCCTTCTCCTAGATTTATTTGTGGTTCTTTTTCATAATAACTTGTTCTTTCTTGTTGTATATAATTTTCCGTTTTAACCTCTGTAGAGACAATAGACTTGTTTTTGTTAGAGTCCTTTCTTTTAGGTCTTTTAATTGTTATTAACTGTTTTCTCGGTTCTATCTTTTCTTGGCTGGGTTTGGTAATGTTTGATGAGACAAGGAAGTACCTGAAAAAGTTTAGAAAGACTGCCAGCAAAAATAATGAAAGTGCCCAAATGGAAATGTATTTTACTGCCTTACTTCCTGAGAGTGTTGGATAAATTAGGCTTTCCTGTAGATACAGCTAAGACATGTGATTATGCCGGCTGCAACTGTACTAGATTATTCAAATTAATCATTTTTTTGTTCATTTGCTAAGTAGTTATTATTTAGTGCTTGTTATGTGGTAGGCATTGTTTTATACATGGTGCTAGATGTTATTAACTGCTCATATTAAAATTCACTGGTGTAATTGAAAACAAAACAATGAGAATATAGTTAATATATATTTTTAAAATAGTGCTGGGCTGATTATCCTTTAACAAATTGGTTGCTTCAACATGTTATGACTGCGATATGTTAAATAGCCATTTGTTTGGACTGCACTAATTTGGAATTTGACAGCTTGTACTCAGATTGAACTGGATATCCTTGTACTTTGAAATTACATGTAATTAGGAATCTTATTGACTAGATATATAGAAACATCTTTACACTGCATTATTAGTATTTGCTGGCAGAGATATGAGCTAATCACCAATTATCCCTGCTTTTTTCCTAAAAGAAGTCTGTGTGGCTCACACGTTAGTAATACTTTTTCGTAGACAGGTTTCTTTTTTCGTTTTCCAAAGAATAATTTTACTTTGAACTTTTTCTTTTTTTTAGAAAACTTTCAACTAACCAAGCATTTTTGGGTCTGTTGGAATTTTCCTTTTTGTTGACATGCAGTAATATCTGACTTCTTGTCTGTCACAGATCCCAGATTACAGGAATGCAGTAATCGTGGCCAAGTCTCCAGCATCGGCGAAGAGGTAGGTGGGAATCTCACAACCTCTTTCTGGATCTACTTCTAAGGATTGTATCCCTGATGAGTTCCAGGCATTCTAATTTGAACTTCAGTGGTTCCCAGTGATATCTCTTATTTTTCTTCCATGGACTGGTGTTTTAAGATTGTTCTGTCAACTCCGTTTATTAAGTAAACATTTTAATTTACTCTCTTTTTTTTCCAATCCCACTCTATAATTGGCAGACATATTTCTTAAGTTATCCTCTACTTACACTTTCTTTTATTTTTATTTATCTCTTGAGATGCAGTTTTACTCTTGTTGCCCGAACTGGAGTGCAGTGGCGTGATCTTGGCTCACCACAACCTCCACCTCCTGGATTCAAGTGATTCTCCTGCCTCAGCCTCCCAAGTAGCTGGGATTACAGGCGTGCACCACCATGCCTGGCTAATGTTTGTATTTTTAGTAGAGATGGGGTTTCACCACGTTGGTCAGTCTGGTCTCAAACTCCTGACTTCAGGTGATCCACCCGCCTCAGCCTCCCATAGTGCTGGGATTACAGGCGTGAGCCACCACACCAGGCCTTGTTTTTATTTTTATTTTTATTTTTATTTTTAATAGTAGAAACAGAGTTTCGCCATGTTGTCCAGGCCGGTCTTGAACTACTGAGGCTCAAACAATCCACCCACCCGCCTTAGCTTCCCAAAGTGCTGGGATTATAGGCATGAGCCACTGCGCCTGACCTCAATCATATTTCTTGACCAAAGCAATCCAGGTCTGGGGAATGCGATCTAGTGTTTTCCCCAGACCCAGATTGATAATCACATGTCAATCTTCGAGTCTGGCGTTTACAGTACTGGCGAATATTTACAGTACTAGCAGACAACTTTGTAGTTGTTTACTGCCCCTTATTTGAGGAACTCAGAAATTGATTAACAGAATTTTATCCACGTGAGAGGTCAGTTATTTGTATATGTTAAAGGTGACATTTGGCAAAATTGATACAACCTGAGGTGTACCAAAGGGGCAGCCTTGAGAGTCAGTAGAGTGAGTTACATGTAACCTGGAGTAACTGATGTATCACTAATGCATACTTAAAATTGTATGTTGGTTGAGAGGCTTTCATATACCAGTATTTTGTGGAGAAGCCACTCAATTGGAAAGGGAAAGAACAAAATCACCTGTAGGAATAAAGCCTTTTTTCTTTTTTTTTTTTTTTTTTTTTTTGAGACGGAGTCTCGGTCTGCCCAGGCTGGAGTACAGTGGCCGGATCTCAGCTCACTGCAAGCTCCGCCTCCCGGGTTCCCGCCATTCTCCTGTCTCAGCCTCCCGAGTAGCTGGGACTACAGGCGCCCGCCGCCTCGCCCGGCTAGTTTTTTGTATTTTTAGTAGAGACGGGGTTTCACCGTGTTAGCCAGGATGGCCTCGATCTCCTGACCTCGTGATCCGCCTATCTCGGCCTCCCAAAGTGCTGGGATTACAGGCTTGAGCCACCGCGCCCGGCCCAAAGCCTTTTTTCTAAAAAAGCCCTTTTAAAGTTATTTTTCAGTTGAATACCTTTGTTCACTGGATTGTTGTTGAGTCCTGTGGAATGAAAGAAAGTGTAGGGTGCCTCCACCCTGGGCCCATGGGCTAGCAGTATTGAAGGATGGAGGAGAACTTGCATACAGTAAGCTATTGATTTCAAAAGTATTTCACATAGGTCATTGGATATTATAAATTAAGAATAACACTTTAATATGTAGACTTAGTATATTAAATAAAATAAATGGGCATTTGAGATAAAACCATTACATGGCTGTGTTCTTGTGGCTGACTTTCCCAACCCAGCCAGGCCTGTGTTCACCCACGTGTCCTTCAAGAAGTTGTATCACCTGGTCTCCTCTTGTCCATTTGATTAAATTGTAAGAAACAGATTCAATTTTAGAATGTAAACATTTCAAATAGCTTTTGCAAACATTTGTTCAAAGGCTGAATTAATTTTACTTAGTAATTTTTCTCTGATATACATGCTTTAAAAAATTTAGATGAAAAATAACATAATATACAAACAATCATTTTAAAGTATAGAATTCACTGGCATTTAGTGCATTCACAATGTTGTGTATCCACCACTTAGCTCTATTTTCAGAACATTTTTGTCATCCCAGAAGAACACCTAATACCCATTCAGCAATCATTCCTTATCCCTTCACCTTCTGTCCCTTGGCAGCCACACTATGTGGCCTTTTGTGTCTGGTTTCTTTTTTTTTTTTTTTTTTTTTTGAGACGGAGTCTGGCTCTGTCACCCAGGCTGGAGTGCAGTGGCCGGATCTCTGCTCACCGCAAGCTCCTCCTCCCGGGTTTACGCCATTCTCCTGCCTCAGCCTTCGGAGTAGCTGGGACTACAGGCGCCCGCCACCTCGCCCGGCTAGTTTTTTGTACTTTTTAGTAGAGACGGGGTTTCACCGTGTTAGCCAGGATGGTCTCGATCTCCTGACCTCGTGATCCGCCCGTCTCGGCCTCCCAAAGTGCTGGGATTACAGGCTTGAGCCACCGCGCCCGGCCTGTGTCTGGTTTCTTTCACTTAGCGGTTTTCAAGGTTCATCTGTGGTGTAGCATGTAGTATCTCAGTGTTTTTTGTTTTTGTTTGAGACAGAGTTATTGTTGTTGTTCGAGACAGAGTCTTGCTCTGTTGCCCAAACTGGAGTGCAGTGGTGCGATCTCAGCTCACTGCAACCTCCTGGGTTCAAGCGATTCTCCTGCCTCAGCCTCCCAAGTAGCTGGAATTACAGGTGCATGCCACCACACCTGGGTAATTTTTGTATTTTTAGTAGAGATGGGGTTTCACCATGTTGGTCAGGCTGATCTTGAACTCCTGACCTCGTCATCTGCCCACCTCAACCTCCTAGAGTGCTGGGATTACAGGCGTGAGCCACCGCGGTTGGCTAGTACCTCAGTCCTTTTGATGGCTGAGTAATGTTGCATTGTATGTGTATGCTAGTTTGTTTATCCATTCATCTGTTGATGGACACTTATTTTTTTTTTAACCTTTTGGCTATTATGAATAGTACTCCTATGAATAGTACTCCTATGATCATTCATGGATTAGTTTTTGTATGGGCATAAATTTTCATTTTTCATTTCTTGTGGATATATATTAGGATTGGAATTGCTGGGTCATATGGCAGTTTCGTTTATGTTTTGAGGAACTACCAGTCTCTTTTCCACTGCAGCTGCCCATTTTAGATTCCCACCAGCAGAGTGTGAGGGTTCCAACTTCTCTACATCCTCACCGACACTTTAATTCTCTAATTTTTTTCATTATAATCATCCTAGTGGGTGTGAAATGGTACCTTATTGTGGTTTTCATTTGCATTTTCCCTAATGATTGATGATGTTGAGTATCTTTTTTTTTTTTTAATGAGACAGGGTCTCACTATGTTGCCCAGGCTGGGCTCAAACTCTTGGGCTCAATCAATCCTTCTGCCTTAGCCTGTTGAGTATATACATATATATGTGTGTGTATATATAGGTACATATATGTGTGTATATATGTATATACATGTATACGTGTGTGTGTATATATTATTTTATGTGTGTGTGTGTATATATATATATTTTTTTTTTTGAGACAGAGTCTCGCTATGTTGCCTAGGCTGGAGTGCAGTGGCACAATCTCGGCTCACTGCAACCTCTGCCTCCCAGGTTTAAGCGATTCTCCTGCTTCAACCTCCTGAGTAGCTGGGATTACAAGTATGCGCCACCATGCCCAGCTGTTGAGTATATTTTTATGTGCTTTTTGGCCATTTGTATATATTTGGAGAAATGCCTGTTAACACCCTTTGCCCTTTTAATAATTGGGTTGTCTTTTTGTTGAGTTATAAGCATTCTTTATATATTCTACATACTAAACCCTTGTTAGATACATGATTTGCAGATATTTTCTCTCTTTCTGCGGATTGTCTTTTCACTGTCTTGATGGTGTTCTTTCACACAAACAGGTTTCAATATTGGCAAAGTTCAATTTATCTTTTTTTTTTTTTTTTTTTTTTTTTTGAGACGGAGTCTCGGTCTGTTGCCCAGGCTGGGGTGCAGTGGCATGGTCTCGGCTCACTGCAACTTCTACCTCCTGGCTACAAGTAATTCTCCTGCCTCAGCCTCCTGAGCAGCTGAGATTACAGGTGCCCGCCACTACACCTGGCTAATTTTTTGTATTTTTAGTAGAGATGGGGTTTCACCATGTTGGCCAGGCTGGTCTCGAACTCTTGACCTCATGATCTGCCTGCCTTGGCTTCCCAAATCAGTTTGTGTTTTTTGTTTGTTATTGCCTCTGCTTCTGATGTCATATCTAAGAATCCATTGGCCAGGTGCAGTGGCTCACTTCTGTAATCTCAGCACTTTGGGAGGCTGAGGCAGGAGGATCACTTGAGCCCAGAAATTTGAGACTAGCCAGGGCAATATAGTGAGACCTCGTTTCTAAGGGGAAAAAAAACATTAACTGGATGTGGTGGCATATGTCTGTGGTTCTAGCTACTTGGGTGGCTGAGGTGGGAGGATTGCTAGAGCCCAGGAGGTCAAGGCTACAGTGAGCTGTGATTGCACCACTGCCTTCTAGTCTGATTGACACAGCCAGATCCTGTCTCAAAAAAAAAAAAAAAAAAAGAAGAGTCCATTGCCAAATCCGAGGTCATGAAATTTACCCCTGTATTGTCTCCTAATGATTTTAGTTTTTGCTCTTATATTTAGGTATTTGATATTTTATTTATTTATTTATTTATTTATTTATTTATTTATTTATTTATTTTTGAGACAGAGTCCAGAGTCTTGCTCTGTTGCCCAGGCTCCAGTGCAGTGACATGATCTTGGCCCACTACAACCTCTACCTCCTGGGTTCAAGCAATTCTCCTGCCTCAGCCTCTTTAGTAGCTGGGATTACAGGCGCGTGCCACCACACCTGGCTAATTTTTGTATTTTTAGTAGAGACAGGGTTTCACCATGTTCATCAGGCTAGTCTCAAACTCCTGACCTCAAGCAATCCACCCACC